ACTCACGGAATTCTGATATATATTACTCAATTTGCAAATTAATTTCACGTTAGATTGTAATTTAAATAGTAATTACCTGATCAATAAAAAACAATACTTAGATAACTATTTTAACTTCTACATTTTGAAGTCATTACTGATAAGCTCTCGTTAACTTACTACTGCTTACTTAATATTGCTACTGTTTTAGAAATACTTAACTATGTCGCCATAGTTCACGATAAAAAGATGGGCGTGGGCAGCTGCCTCTCCACTAAACAGTTCATAATTGTAAAATATAGATACCTAAGATATTAAAGAGTCCTAGAAAGAGATGGATGGATTGTGTAAAAGGTGACATGATCAAAAAGGGAGTGATGACTGAGATGACGTATGATAGAGTTATGTGGAGGACAAAAACCTATTGCACCGCTACGGGAGTAGGATAAGGAGATGATGATGACGATGATGAAAGATACGAATTCATTCAAAATAGTTAGTTTAGGAACCCTAAACTTTTAGACTGATTTACTAATTGACGAATTGGTGATTTTCGAATAATGTGATTTATTTTTATACCAACACTAGCTGTTCCCGAGCGACTTCATCCGCATGAAATTATGAAATTTTTATTTTATTGTTTACATTTGTCAAATTACAAATGTCAAAATGACTTGACATGATGACAACCTAGCTTCCTTGATGCTGGCAGCAACTTATGATCTTTTTCCCACATTAGGATTTCATGCAAAATATTTACACACTAAGTTAATGGCGTGAAAATATGTAGGCTAAAGCGTAACGTAAGTGTAGGGTTCTTTATTTAAAAAAGAATTATTCAAAAATATGGTGTAATTGCTGACATCTTAGGCAACAAAGAAGTGTGTGTTTACGCTTTATTATAATAGTATAGATTTATCATAACAACCCGTCTCATCCTTTTACTACTTTTAAAATGTTCAATAACTTATGTTTAAAAATGTTACAAAATAATTTTACTCAAAATAATATAAATATGTAGTGTATAGTCATGTTTATATTAAAATAAAATTGGGCGAAAAAAACTTCGAATCACTTAGAAATACAAATGACATCAAAGTAAACGCTATACACGAGTACTGTATTTACGCAAGTATTCATTTATTTTGGGAAAGATCAGTCGCTTCGAGAACTGGCTGTAGTTGTTGTCCAAATGATTCCACGTGGTGCGACCAACCTCATATGTCTCCAGCATGTTGGGCAGCTGCTTGGACAACCACTTTACATCCCGCGGGTCCACCAAGAAGTCGTTTTTCCCATAAATCAACACCACAGGCATCGTTGACTTTTTCAGGTTATACAGCGGTGGAATAGGACTACCATACAATTGCAAGTTTTTACTAAATCCATAGTCATACTTTTGAAAGTTTTTTGAGATCACGCCCTGACCGTAAATCGCTAACGTGTAAGCTGATGTACCCGCCGGGAAGTGGCCGAACAGTGAGCGTATCGTTTCTGGCAATACAGAACCCGGGTCGTAAGAATCTATTAACGCCAAAAACAATTGACAAACCGTACTCGCCAGCGCGTTATCTTTGCAAATAAAAGCAGAAGCTGTTTGAATCAAACCGCCTTTTTCTAAAACTTCAAGTTGTCGTGGAGTTTTCAATATCGGTGACACTGCGGCATAAAATTCTGTCAACAACCGTATAGATATACTTCTGGTGTACTTAACTCTTACCGCTGGCGCTAAATTTATCGCAACCCTTACTTTGTCCACATACCCTGAGGTCTCCGAGGCCATCGTGAACACCTGTCTACAACCATGCGAAAAGCCAATGAACATGAGATCCTTTGACCCGGTGTGGTTTAACACATAGTCGATATTCGCTGGGAGATCGTAGACGCCCATCTGCTCGGTGTTAAAGTCCCAGAATTCGGAATCGGTATCCGGATCGAGGCTGCGGTGTCGTCTTCCATAGTAGTTACCACGCACGTTGCCGACCCACGTGTCGTAACACGCGTCTGCCAGAAGGAACGCCAGCCCGGCTGAAGGTCCGGCGTCCAGCCACGCATCTGCGCTCATCAGTAAGCCATGCATCATCAAAATTGGCGGTTCCGCTATTGTCCCATTGCAGTTTTTCCCCTTAGGTATACGAAACAAAAACAATATGTATCCATCTTCAGTGACCACTACATGTTCTTCAGAATAATATCCATAATTACTTGTAAATTCGGTAAAATTGGAAAGGGAATCCTTAGAGTAGTATCTTAAGAGATTATCTTGTTTGAACAACGTGGCATTCTGTCCAGATGCGGCTTGCAGCGCCAGCACAGCCAGGAGGGCCGCGCGGAGAAGCACGTCGGCGCCTATTAGCTCTCTCATCGTCATTACGTCGCCGTAGAGCCTATGTGGTGCTATTTAAATATCATTACAGTTATCTCGCTGCTTATCGTCACAGCAATTCAAACAATTAAGTAGGTCATAATGAAATTATTCTAATATATGTTCATTGCGAGGATTATTTGAGACCTTTACAAGATAAAGAGTTTGATAAATATTTGTTTGTTTAATTTTTGGATTTTTTAGCTTACTTTGAATATCATACTAATGTTATAAGTTTTTATGGATGGATGGATGTTTGTTAAAGTTTGTAGCCTAAACTGCTGAACGAATTTCTATGAAACTTGGTATAGATGTAGAGGATATTCTGGAAGAACTCATAGGCTACTCACTATTGTTTATTTTAATTCCACAATTAAAATTAAAATTTAAAAACGTTTATAGGATGACTTCTTTTCTTTTCTAACCTCATTAGAAGGTCAATCTTTGTATCAATTCAAAGAACCGTATGATTATTGTATGACATTGGCCCTCAGTAAAGAACCAGCAGTTTTTAAATTTTCCACCCGCGTGTACTTACCACGCCCACCACAGTTATACATACAAACATATCATTATAAAAACTAATCAACCGTTATTGTTAATATTATGTACTCTGTGAACGGTGTTGAATATTGTAATTATTTTATTTGTTAAGGACAGTTCAATAAAAAATACCATATCTCTTCTCCCTTTGTTTTAATGAAGTAGTTACAGAACCATACAATTGCTATTATATTAATACAGGCGTGATATCATTTGTAATATCAAGCTGTAAAAAGGCTTTCAAATCATAATAAATGTGTCCTTTTTTGACGCAAACTGAATCTACATATATCATGCAATATTACACGTAAATTGTTTTATATGTAGACTAGTTTCTGCTTTAAAATAATTTGTTTTAAGAGTCTTGTTATTGAATAATTTTAACTTCGCGTTGTCGAATTAGTATTATTTGATTACAAAGCTTTAATAACCGACGTAATTCGAATAAAAAATGTCTTTCAAATCAACAATCCATGAAGTTTATCAACTGGCCTTTACCTACGTAATGACTCATTTGAAAACATACAAACAATATCTCAAACGACTTCATGTATGTTGCAGAATAATTGTAAATTTAACCAGATTGCAATTGCACTGGGTATATTATAAACTGATATGCAAATTCAAATACAACAATTCTAACATTTATTTAAAAATTAGCTGTTCCCTGTGACTTCATTCGCAAAAAATTATGAAAAATATCTTATTGTTTACGTGTGTCAAATTATCATTTGCAAATGTCAAAATGACGTGACGATGACAAACCATGGCAACCTTGCTTTCTTGATGTTGGCAGCAACTTATGGTCTCTTTCCCACATTAGGGTTTTTATCCAAGATATTTACTCCCTAAGTTTAATAACGTGAAAATACGAAAGTGTAGGGCTTTTTAGTAAAAATAGCATTATTCAAAAATATGCTGTAATTGCTGACATCTTAGGCAACAAAGAAGTGTGTGTTTATGCTTTATTATAATAGTATAGAATTATAGATATCTCACATTGAACCGGATCTTCTGATAAAAAAATTATCAACAACTATTTATCGTCTTCAACTTCGCACGGAATTAAAAAAATACACAATTAGTAACTTATGAATCATACCAGACTTCTACGTCAATAATAAATTTCAACAAACCGATTTGTCGATCTGGAGATAGATTGTCCAAGGACAAATTAGATTTTTATAATTTGCAGTTTAACTGGGGAAAAATATAAAAATAAAAATACTTAGTAATCGTAAACTGTTAAAGTTTAAAAATAGTCTGGTAACATGCCTATTATGTTGATCATTGTTATCACAGCTTCGTGAGATATCACACGCGTTTGCTAACTCACAAGTAGCAAAAAACAATTAATTTAATTGAAGTGCTCAAACTGAAGTGAACTGTGATTCAAGCGGTACAAGAAATGTGTTCTGTCAGATTATTGTGAATATAATGGGGTCACGAATATTTTGGTGGATGTTATACTTAGTTATATTGAAGATAATAGTACAGAACGCGTTTGCAGGATTTAAATTATTTACCAGTAATAATGTGAGTTATTTCAACTTTACGGAAGCGACAACACGGTACGGATATTATTCCGAAGAACATACTGTCGTGACAGAGGATGGATACATTTTGACTGTATTTAGAATACCGAAGGGTAAAAATTGTGATAAAACCAGATCGTCTCCAGTTCTATTGATGCACGGGCTACTGGTGAGTTCGGACGCCTGGATAGACTCAGGTCCTGAAGCAGGACTGGCGTATCTCATAGCAGACGAATGTTACGACCTTTGGATCGGCAACGTCAGAGGGAATCATTACTCCAAAAGACATGTAAAATTAAATCCAGAAATAGATGTAGAATATTGGAACTTTACTCCAAATGAAATAGGGATTTACGATGCACCAGCTATACTAGACTACATTCTAAAAAAGACGGAATCGAAGACGGTAAATTACATAGGATATTCTCAAGGCAGTGGAATGTTTCTCATAATGTGCTCGGAGAGACCGGAGTATTGTAATAAAGTTGGTCACGCTATTCTGTTGCATCCAGCTTCAAGAATGAATTCTACGAAATCTATAATGTTTAGAGTATTAACAAAATACTACGAAACTATTCTACCTTATATAAGTAGTGCATCGAGTTTGGAAGTTCTTCCTCAAGGAGGCAACTTACAGCGGCTTACGGGCGCTTTGTGCCAGAACGAAATCCTCGCGGATACATTTTGCAGATGGATATTGTATTTGGTCGACTCCAGTCATCCAGAAGCTATCAGTATACCGACTATACAAATTTTATCCGACCATTTTCCTGCTGGAACATCTGTGAAGTCGATGGTATTTTACAAACAGCGTGTAACTTCTGAGAGGTTTAGCAAATACGATTATGGTAGAGAGGAAAATTTAAAATTATACGGTTTGGAGTATCCACCTGCATACAATATTAAGGCTGTAAATGTACCAGTAGTAATAATTCACGGCGAAAACGACTATCTGTCGTCGCCAGTGGACGTGGAATGGTTATCAAGCCAATTGCCCAACCTTGTAGAGATGTATTATGTTGATGACCCACTCTGGAACCATCTCGATGTAATATATAACCAGCATCTAAAAGAAAAGATGTTTCCTAAAATAAAAGAATATTTATCTAAGGACAGTAAATAAAAAGTACGGAAGTTTTTACGTTTTTGATTCGTTAATTTAACCTTAAACGAAATGTCAAATCTACATGGACGACACAAATTGATAACTGCATGTATTTAAACTACAATAACATGTTAACTACATTTTTTAAAACCTTAAAACTACGAAAATTTATCTGCGTAAATAGGATACAAATTGTAATGCATGTTGCGTGTACATGATGACTGTTTTAATAAAATAGTTGCAATGGTTTCCTTTACTAGCACTTTTTGGGATAATTTACACCCAAAGAGTTCGTCTACCTTCTCCAGGCAGTTACCCAGTTTCCCAGTAACGGACATATTTTAGCTGAACATTTGAAAACTGACTTTTTTAATCAAAGATGACAAACAATCCACAAAAGACAATATTCACGTACAAAATAGTTATTTTAATGCTTATGATAATTATAAAGCCTGCTGCGAACGGCCTTCGTATATCAGACGCATAAAACTACGCAATATAGAAACTATTTAGTAATGTTATATTTAGATGTTTTATGTTATTTTTGGACACTTACGAGAAAAAAAACAAATAATGGTATAAAACGTGACTTTTTTTCGCTTGTATTCCTCTCCACAATAAAACTGTATTAACTTTAGGCAAACATGACACATAAGTCGTGTGGGTTTGCCCATGACTTCTTCAACTAACCAACCGCCTTCCGTATTCATCTGTTTACACGTGACGTCATAAGGCCATCGGCAAAACATTTTCGTGTGAGTAAATTTTGTTTCTGAAGTAAAAAAAATCGATTTTTTAAACAAGACATTTGAAAGATATATGCATTATGACTAAATTTTAAATGCAACGGTGATTAAATATTTTTTTGCTAAGTTTTTGTGAATGATTTGATATACAGAGTTTGAACCGACGGCCCTGACACTTTGGTAGACTGCAGGACAATTACAAATAATACATTTTTTATAAAAACATATGCATTATGCATATTCCTTTTATACGAGGTAATGATTTCATATTTTTTTCACGATTTTGACAACATTTATTTTTATTAACATAGAGCAGGCGCATACCTTTGAGTTGTTGACACAACTGTTGTGCGATTGTCGCTTGTTTCGGTGCCGATTCGACTGTTTAGTTGCACAACTAAAATCGAGTAGTGTACACCTCGATAGAGGCTCATAGGAATCAAAGCGAGACTGCTTAGTCTGGGAAACTGGGTAACTGCTTAGTTGTGCGATAGTGTAGCGTAATAACTGAATATTACGATTTTATTAGCTTTGTTTATTGTTTACTTGCTTTTGTTTTGTGTATTTCCAATTATCTAGGTTTGCTGCTCTATATTTTGCGACATACTTAATTACCTTTAACATATGTAACAGTCGTTGATATACATTTGTTTGTTTCATTAACATTTTTTTCTAATTATCATTATCTAGTTCGACCTACAAGAACAGACCCGGTAACCTGGTGGTAGTCTATAATGGATGTTAGATAAAACTTGCCCTGCGTGTGCTTATTTCGCCAAATAAGAAATGGTAACACCATGTTATTGTTGTACTTATTATAAATGTTTTTATATAAAAGTCGGCAAAAGTGCTAGTAGCCATCTACTTTTGTCGAGAAAGCAAGCGACCGCTGCCTATAGATATCCGAAACCGAACGCGGCATTGTTCCCACTTCACGCATGTCTTCTGTGTGGTTGTGGTTGCGTTAGAAAGCATAACCGACAAATCACTTATTTATCAATTATGGACTGCACGATCCCCTATGTTTAATTTATTTATATAACAAAAGTATTTAGACAACAAATTGATCCGAAAACGACAATTTACTGTCTACCGCTTCCGCAAGACGTAAATGTAATCTTAATTACTTGTAATAGACTTTACTATTAGACAACTAGATAGGAATACTTTTAAATAGCGATCTATTTCGACTACGCTTAGTACAATAATGTGGCCAATAACAAATACAGGTTTTACACTGCCCCTGTCATTTATTTTAATTCAAAATGTCTTCGGAATACAGACAGATATAGGAAAGCAGTTAAAATTTACTTTGGGATATCCACATGACTCGTTCTCAAACTTTACTGAAATGGCAACGAGGCACGGTTACGTCTCCGAGCAGCATACAGTCGTCACAGAAGATGGCTACATCTTAACAATGTTTCGAATGACCAAGGGAAGGAACTGCAGACGACCGATTAAAAGACCACCAGTTCTCCTGATGCACGGTCTACTAATGAGCTCAGATTGCTTCATGGATTCAGGTCCCAACGCCGGTCTAGCGTACCTTATTTCAGACCTATGCTACGATCTTTGGCTTCCCAATATAAGAGGCACCTACTACTCGAGAAGTCACATCAAACTCAATCCGGATGTAGATAAAGATTACTGGGATTTCACTAATTTAGAATTTGGATATTACGACATCCCCGCCTCCATTGATTATATTTTGCGTCATACAAAGTCTGAAAAACTCAACTACATTGGCTTCTCGCAGGGGGGCAGCACTTTCATTATAATGAATTCCAAAAGACCAGAGTACATGAATAAGACAGGCGTGGCCATATTGCTGGAGCCAGGTTCGAGACAAACCTACACCAGATCAAAGTTGTTCAGGCTGCTCTGTGAAACTTACTTACTGAATTATCCTTTACTTATGGATGTCGGACAGTACGAAGCTTTACCTTTGGATGGAGTTATTCAGAAAATAGCTGCGTTCCTCTGCAAGGATACGATTATCGCCAACACAGGTTGCAGGCTGGCGCTCAGCCTCATAGATGCTCCTCATCCTGGCTCCATAGAGACGGACACTGTTAAAGTACTTTTTAGCCATTTCCCTGCGGGGACCTCCGTCAAGAACATGGTTTGGTATGGCCAAGCTGTAAACGTTGATACATTTCAAAACTTCGATTACGGTACTATCAAAAACTTGCAAGTGTACGGTAGTGTGCAGCCTCCCGCTTTTAATGTAAGTTCGGTAGATGTGCCCATCGTGATAATCCACGGAAGGAATGACTTCCTGGCGTCTCCAGCCGACGTCGAATGGGTGGCCAGCAAACTGCCCAATCTCTTGGAGGAGTTTTACGTGGAGGAACCTATGTGGAATCATTTCGACGTGACTTACAGTCGGCTAACCAGTAAATACATATTACCCAAAATAAGTGAATATTTAAAGAAATATAGTAATTAAAGAGATAAAACGAATCTGGCTGAGTTACTCACCATTTTGGATTTTTTCAATATTCTAAAACACATACATTTTCTACTTTTACCGTGTAGTAGATGGTAACTAAATGAAATAAATAAAGAAGATAATTGTAGGTCAATACGCTAATTTATTCTATTTCAGTATCGCTCTCACTATCAGAACATATAACTTACACTAGACTTGCTGATAAGCACGTTTTAAATACCACTAATCTATTCCGAATGCTGCAATAATGTTCAAGTTACCTAGAACATGGTCTACGCTTTTCCTAGTAGTTCAAATATTACACAATGCTTGTTGTGATATTAACATAGAAAAAAATGTAAAACTTTTAATGGGATATCCTCCTGACTCACTCGCCAACTTTACTGAATTGGCCACAAAGTATGGATACGTCTCCGAAGAGCATACCGTAATAACTGATGATGGCTACATATTGACAATGTTTAGAATAACTAAAGGAAGAAATTGCAACGGACCCATAAGAAAGCCTCCAGTTCTTCTCATGCACGGACTGATCATGAGCTCCGATGGGTACCTAGACGCAGGGCCAGAGGCGGGCCTCGGTTATCTAGTGTCGGACCTCTGCTACGATCTCTGGCTCCCCAACGTACGAGGGAACTACTACTCGAAACGACACATCGCACTGGATCCCGCAAGAGATAGTGAATTCTGGGACTTCTCCAACTTGGAGTTTGGGTACTACGATATTCCAGCTTTTATTGACTATATTCTGAGTAAAACCAGGTCTAAGAAGCTGAACTACATCGGATTCTCGCAGGGTTGCAGCACCTTCTTCATAATGAATGCCGAAAGACCTGAGTACAATGAGAAAATTGGTGTGGCGATACTCCTGGAGCCAAGCTCGAGGCAGACGAACATGAAGGCGCAAGTGACCAGGCTGCTGCTGGCCACGACCGCTGCCGCGCTGCCAGTGCTGTATCAGGCCGGTCAGTACGAGGCCTTGCCGCTGGGCGGGATCGTGCAGGAGATTGCGGCCTTCATCTGTAAGGACTACGTTGCAGCAAACACTATCTGCAGGGTTATATTGTCATTAATCGATGCCTCTCACCCCGGCTCCGTAACGACGGAGACTATGCGCGACCTCTTTGGTCATTTCCCAGCAGGCACGTCAATAAAAAACTTCGCCTGGTACGGACAGGGTCTTAGTGTTGACACCTTTCAGAATTTCGATTACGGCGTTGATAAAAACTTGCAAACCTACGGTAGCGTCCAACCACCACCCTACAATCTCAGTCGAGTGACGGCGCCCGTTGTAATCATTAACGGGTACAACGATGGTCTGGCGACGCCGGCTGACGTCGACTGGGTTACCAGCAAACTACCAAACGTACTGGAACACTTCTATGTTAAGGATCCGCTCTGGACTCACTTTGACGTGACGTTTAGTCAATTTACAGCTAACAGTACATTACCAAAGATAACGCAGTATTTGCGACGTTACAGCACATAGATGATAAATAAATTATTTCGTTAAAATATAAATTGATAAGAACTTTTATTACAAAATAAAACTGTCCTGGCTTTAAAATGTAAAGAGTTGATAGTGAATTTTATTTGCACATTAAATCAAGACTTTTTTAAACATAGTTAGGTTTTTTAATAATTTACTAATGATAAAATTAAAGTTTTTTATAAATCCGAAGAAAAAATTAAGATTGAAGTTGCATTTTTTACTTATTTTGAAAAAATTTAAAAACCATAAGCACTCAAAAATGGTTAACTTTTGCATAATGCTTAAAAATTATCACAAATGATCCGCTCTAATGCCACCTAACGGCAGTAAGTCGAATTGACAACAACAATGTAGTGTCGATACTATACCAAGGGGCTCCCCCTAGCCGGGTCGTGGATAAACTAACGTATATGCCACGGCCCGGTTGCGCGACGGAGAACACTGCGGGGTTTAGTGGGTAGTCCGGCCGAAATTTTTTAAGGCCGGGCTACCCACTAATTCATTCATTCCCCGCGATTAAAAAAAACAGTACCTCGAATTGACAATATCAATGTATCAATACATAATTCTCACTCGACAATTGCTTACTTAAATCCACACATGTATTAATCACACAAATCTTAATCTAAGTTACATCGAAATCATTAGCATGAATAATTAATTGGAACTGCACAATTTGGCTGCAACCAGTTCTTTAATCAAATAATATAACTCACAAAAACGACACAATTAATCAATAAGATAGAAATGTTTATAAATATCACGACAACTGCATTTCGAGACTATTGCACTAAAATGTTTTTAACTGCAAAATCGGGCGTCATCACTCTTTTAATTTTATTGCAAAATGTTCTCGGTGACAATCGCGAGGAGACGGAGAAAGAATTGAAATTAGTTCTGGGATATCCTCTAGATGCAGTTTCCAACTTTACAGAAATGGCCATCGAACATGGTTATCTCTCGGAGCAGCACACGGTTACAACAGAAGACGGTTACATCTTAACGATGTTCAGGATTTCTAAAGGCAAAAACTGCAAGGGTCCGAACAGAAAACCACCAGTACTTCTAATGCACGGTCTGCTCATGAGCTCTGACAGTTTCATGGACTCAGGCCCGCAAGCTGGACTGGCATATTTGATATCCGACTTGTGCTACGATCTCTGGGCTCCAAACATCCGAGGGAATTACTATTCGAAGCGGCATATCAAACTAGATCCCTCAAAGG